ACCTCCAGGTTATTCCCAAAATAAGTGTATCAGTCAGCTTTTCATGAGTCCAGAGTGGGTCATCCCAGTTTCCAGATAAGGTAATTAAAGTCACAGGGAAGGAGTGCTTTACTGTTGAGTATCTCACACGGGCAATACATTTATTTAACTTTTATTAAATAAACCTTTATTTAATGGACAGACATTTAGGTTGTTTTAAACTTTTTGCTTTTATAAGCAATGCCAGGATTATCTTCCTCATAGCTAAGTCATTGCATACATGCTTAACTATATCTATAAGATAAATTCCCAGAAATGAAACTGCTGTGTCAAAGGGCATTTTTTTTTAAGACTCTGAACACGTTCTCAAATTTCTCTGTAGATTATTTATATGAATTTATCCTGTAGCTGCTGCGTGTGAGAAGCCCACTTCCCCACACCCTCAGTATTATCCCTTCCATCCCCAGAGATCTGGTCTAACATTCCCTCCTACTCTACTGCAGGCCATTCTCCCTGTTCCAAAGTTGAACATCTTCACTCCCCCACAGGCAAGCTTGTACCCAAACTATACCAAGAGCTCGAGCCCATCCTCTTCCCACAGGCATTCCCAGTGTGAATGAGACATGGTCCATGAAAGCAGGTCACATACTGCTCATCTCTACATTGATGTTAGTATCAGGATTTATATTAACTAGCCCTTCCTCTCCCACATATTCTTCCTGATCCAGCCTTTCCTAAGTGGGTGTTCATAGTCAGTATGCCCATACATTTCTCTGAGTACGTGTTTATAGCATTTGTTCTTCCTGTTGGCCTGTTTATTTTTCTAGGCAATACAGCACAATGGTTAGGTACACAGACATTGAAGCCAGACTTGCCACTTACTAGTCATGCCCATGAACGAGTTACTAAATCTCTCTGAAACTTAGTGTCTTCATCCACAGTCTTTAATAGTATCTATACTTCAATATATCAATATATAATATATATTCATTATATTAATAATATATATAAAGTGCTTAGCACAGTGTCTGCCATATAAAAAGCTTTCAGTAACTACTAGTTATTACTATTATCAGGGAAAAAGATAATTTTTTTACATGTTCTCAAATGATTGTGGTGGCATGACATGAAAATAATGCTTTCCCTGTGCTTGAATAAATCACATACATTCAACACGTACTAGGACATTCAACATATACTTAACTCCCCACAGAGAAACATGAACCTCTCTCTTACATAATTCCCTGGTAGGCTCTTTCTCAGACTGGAGAATGCTGTCTTACCCTTGTTTAGGGACCCCACAGGCTTTCAGTGACCGTCCAGATGACCAGGCTTCAATGGGTGTCCCGCCCCAGCTGGAGGAGATCAGACCGATGGGATACTGCAGAGTGTCATACAGGTGACGCCCAAAGAGCCAGCACACTGCTGACATGTACGTGAAATTTCCATGGCCTAAGTTTTCTGTTCAGAGAAACGGTAAAAAAACAAACAAACAAACAAACAAAAAAATGAGTCAGGTGTGGTGGCACATGCCTGTAATCCAAGCTACTCAGGAGGCTGAGGCAGGAGAATCGCTTGAACCCAGGAGGTGGAGGTTGCAGTGAGCTGAGATTGTGCCACTGCACTCCGGCCTGGGGAAAAGAGTGAGACTCCGTCTCAAAAAAAAAAAAGGTGGACGGATACAAACTGCAGCTGCTAGGTGGGTCTAGGTGAGAAGGGTGAGCCGAGGTCATTCTTCTGTTCTTTTCTAAGACTTTTAAAAGTAGGATAAGATTGAGAAGCACAGAGAAGATACAGCATCAAGACCAATATGCCCGTCTGGACACTATCATCTCTTCGAAACCTTCCCTAAGGAGAATCTTTTCCAAGGGAGAAAACCACAATCTTAGCGATAGCTCCCTTTTAACTGTCTTCATGTTTTTTCAGTTGCTCAAAATGCTTGTTCTCATAACAAGGAAAGAGCACTCTCTGCCTGGGAGAGAGGCAGATATGATAGCGATTTTGCTCTCAGCCTGAGTATAAATAATTCACTTACATAACATGAAAGTTAAAGCTCTCTGGCTAGGCAATAGGCTTCCCTGTGCTTCCCATCACTTACAGACTCTGCAGACTCTCGGATAATCAATTATCTCCCTCAAATAGGTGAGAGGTGGGAAGGCCATCAGGTCCCCATGCTACTCACTCTCTTCTATGTCTCCCCTCTTACTCAGCCACTCGTTCCCACTTAGCTCTGTGGAAGGGAAAAAGCAAGCAGGGGGCAACTTAAGAAGAAATGTGTATTTTTTTTTCTGGGTGGCTTTATACACAATTTTATAGCTATGGTAAAGAGGGTGGGCAGGGTGGCTCACACCTGTAATCCCAGCACTTTGGGAGGATGAGGCGGGTGGATCATCAGGAGTCAGGAGTTCGAGACCAGCCTGGCCAACGTGGTGAAACCCTGTCTCTACTAAAAATACAAAAATTAGCTAGGCATGGTGGTAGGCACCTGTAATCTCAGCTACTCAGGAGGCTGAGGCAGGAGGTGGAGGTCTCAGCGAGCCAAGATTGTGCCACTGTACTCCAGCCTGGGCAGCAAGAGCAAAACTCGGTCTCAAAAAATAAATAAATAAATAATAAAATAAAAATCAAAAAATAAAAGTAAATAACTATGGTAAAGAAAACATGAACAGATAAGTAATGGAAAATTTGGCCCAAAAAGAAAGGCAACGGAAGCCAAAACTAGTGTTTAAATTCTCAGCACAGTGTAACTCATTCGTCCAATTACACTGCCCAGTAACCAACAGAAGCAAGAGTGGGCAATTTCATGTTAGAGGAAAGCTGGTGAAGAGGGGAACATGCATATATACACAAGGATGGAAGCAGTTCAGCCCAAGGTTTATTAATAAAGACGGACTATGGCTAAGTCACTGGCACTCCAATACTTGATAGAATAAGACAAGTATTTAGTTGAATAAAATATATGGCAAAAGATGGTAAGTGCCTCAAGAGGTACAAACAAGTATTAAAAAGTTTTAACACCAAGAAAGAATATCAAATGAGAGGCAGATCCTAAAAGTTCTGCTAAAGACTGACCTCCCCACCCCACACTGTGCTTCCACAATACTCTGAGCATTGCTCCATCACTAGACTTTGCAATCACCCTCTGTTTAGTGTTTCCCTTAGCCCACTACACTATTAGCAGGGACTTCACCTGATTCACATCTGTATCCCCAGTGTCCAGGACACAATGGACAGTCAGTGTTTGCTGACTGGTGGAGAGTGGCTGTGCCTATCTGGTATAAAGTTGGTTTCACTGGCAGTAGATAGAGGGGAGTGGTAAACAGGAAGGAAGAGAAGAGCTGGGGAAGCCTTAAACCACCAACAGGAGTTTAATAAACAGAGCTGGCACCTTAGGCAGAAGAAAAAATACATAAAAAGGCACACAGAATAGGAAATGCTCTGAAAGTATTTGGCTGGAGCAGACATTACAAAAGAGAACAGTGGAAGATAAGACTGGAGGGGAGGTTGGAGCCACATCTTGGAGTAAAGAAAATGGAAAGCCACTTGGAAATGCTTGAGAATGAGAATGTGGATGGTAGGCAAAACAACAGACCCAAAAGACATCCACACACTCATCCCTGGAACCTATGGATGTGTTATCTCACATGGCTAAAGGTACTGTGTAGATGTGATAAAGATTAAAAACCTGAGATGTGGAGAGTGTCCTGGATTATCCAGGTGGATCCAATCTAATTACAACAGCCCTTAAAATCAGAAAACCTTTCCCAGAAGCAGTGATGTGATGACAGAAGAGGTGGGAGGCCTGGCACGGTGGCTCACGCCTACCATCCCAGCACTTTGGGAGTCTTAGGCAGGCAGATCACTTGAGGCCAGGAGTTCAAGACCATCCTGGCCAACATGGTGAAACCCTGTCTCTACTAAAAATACAAATATTAGCTGGGCGCAATGGCATGCACCTATAATCCCAGCTACTTGGGAGGCTGAGGCAGAAGAATCACCCGGGAGGTGATTGAACTCGGGAGGTGGAGGTTGCAGTGAACCAAGATCATGCCACTGCACTCCAGCCTGGGTGACAGAGTGAGATTCCGTCTCAAAAAAAAAAAAAAAAAGGAAGAAGAGACAAGAGAGAATCTCAGTGTGGGAGAGATGGATCCTCTGTGCCCTTCCTAGATGTCTGCCTTGCCTCTCCTCTTTCAGGCTGCTACTGAAATGTCACCTTTCTCAGTTGGGACTTCCCTGGCTACTCTAAATTGCAAACCACTCTTCCATCCCAGCATCAACACTCCCTATTGCCTCCCTTCCCTGATATATTTGATTTATTTATTTTTGTCGCATTAGTACATATCACCCATTAACCTATCCTGTGATATCCACATTTATTCATTCCATTTCTGATTTCACAAAGTGAAAACAAATTCAGATAGCAAGGCATAATGCATTATCCAAATTTGATTGTGTCCTGAGTTTTGGATACCATGTAGTAAGAATTCATAGAGCAAAGGATTCGCCCAAAAATGTACCTGAATCCATTCAGTTCCTGAGCTCTTTTATAGGGAGAGTTCAGATAGCGTGAAACTGGATAGCATCAGATACTTTGCCATAATTTACTAATTTTATGATTCACTTTCAGTATTTCCTCACACTAGACTGTAAGCTCCATGAGGTCATGCATTCTTGCCTGTTTTACTCACTACTATATACCAAGCACTTGGAATAGTGCCGAGCACACAGCAGGCATTCAAATATTTGTTAAGTGAATTAATACTTGAAAATGTTGGAGCATCTGAGCACCAAGGAAAGCATGCATAGGGAAAAAAGAAAAAGTCCAGGGAGAACACAGGGGTCACATCTGAAAGAAGGGAATGAAGAAGCAAAGAAAAAGGGACAGAGAAGCCAGAGGAGGAGAACTAGGAAAGGAAAGCACCAGGCAAGCGAGGAGGAACATGTGGTTTCTAAAGGGGGTGGTCCACAGTGCCGAATGCGGCAGAGGTCTCCAGGTTTATCATTAGAAGAACAGTAGGGTCTATGGCCATACCACCCTGAACGCACCCGGTCTCATCTGATCTTGGAAGCTAAGCAGGGCCGGGCCTGGTTGGTACTTGGATGGGAGACTGCCTGGGAATACCAGGTGCTGTAGGCTTTTT